TTAAAAAAAATCTTCCTGGGGGTGCATGCCCCCGGACCCCCCTAGAGGATGTAACGTCCACCACCAAATAAAGCAGGTTAAAATAATTAAATTGCATACATTTTATTTGAGTAAACACTGAAAACGGGTCTCACAGACCCAAACAGCACACAAAGGTTAAAGGTAGCATATAATAATGTTAAAATGTGCTAAATATATACACTGCAAAAAAACAAAAAAGAGGAGTAAAAGTAGCTCACGACTTGTTTTATTTTTTGAGAGTAGCTCTCATCCTAAAAAAGGTTGGAGACCCCTGTTATAGAACGATACATTTGACAATTTTAAGCTTGGCCTACCATTTTATTGGAGCGATGAGGAACAGGTGGGGCTTGAAAAGGCCCACCTGTTCAAAGTAGGGAATGACAGAAAAAGTTTGAGAACCACTGACTTAATGTAAAGAGACGTTGGGCTCCTTTGAACCAAGTTAGCCGTGAAATCACAAAAACCTTTAGAAAAGACTACAGTTTTTACAAGAGATTAGAACTTCTATAAAAAAGTACAATGCTGAATACATGTGGTTCTTTTGGAGTGCAAACAGGTGGTTTCAGCATAGAATAGAAGGACATGTTTCTCAATAAAGCCAACATGAGCCTTGCAGCAGAACGTCAACACCAAAACATCTGATTATCCCATTAAATGGAAACAGCTTTTACAGCAAATTCAATTTCAAAATGCTTATGAAATGAACCAGATGGTTTACGGGAGTATGAATGAGCAGTTTCAAACTTCGCCATCCTCACAGCTGGGACACAGCCAGGCATATTTCCACAGGTCATTTAATTCATATTTGGATGAATCTCTCTCCACCCCTCTGTTCCCTTTCTAAGCCATCAACAGATTGTGTTTGACCTTGCTTATGGCAGTTATACAAACATGCAGGACTCATTTAAGGAGCTAATCAGTCTCCAGCGGACTGGCCGTGGGGGAGTTTTTGGGGTATTTCCTGCAAATAGGTTATGAGATCACCACATTTGGGAACTTTGAAAATGGTCGTTTAAAATTAGGTTTCGCAAGAGCGAGTTTCCGTTGTTGCAGGACGCATTAATCAGAGGATGCTGAGTAGGTGTGCTTCACATTCATTCTTGTTGGTTGGTTATATAAACAAAGTAGTCCAGAATGCTGCTGCTGAACCACAGAAATGTGAAAGTGTTACTGTCCGGAGGGAGATAATGTTGTCTGCGTTACCAACAACATCACCACCGATCAAATCTAAATTCTATCTGCAGGATTTCATAACCAATTAGTTTCCCCTGACGCATTATGCTGCTGGCTCAGTAATGCCGCTCTACAAAGCGCCAACACTGACTCAACTAAACTCTGCCCATGTCCCCGGTTAACCCCAGAGAAGAAGACTCAGCATTGGGCTAGGGGTCTGATTATTCAGTCATTAGTTCTACGGGAAGAAAAAATAGCAAGCAAAGACAAAACGCAATTACCTCCTAGGGCAAAGGGAAACGAGTCCGAAACTTTTATTACTTTTGGGGAAATTCCACAGTAGCCAAACCAGTATAAATAATACAAGGAGAGCTGTGGTCACAGACTAAGTAATGCAAATCTCTATGGTTACATTGCAAGACTAAAACAATGCTTTGCTGACAGTTTCCAAACATGTTTTATTGCAATTGTCCAATTACAAAGCTTTGTTTTTTCTTGCCCATACACTTGTTACAGCCAGAATATTTCACTTGCAGTTTGTGAGATTCTGCTTTGAGATGAAGTGGGAGCAACACAGACACACCTCTTTGTGAACAAGTGTCTTATATCCAGCTCCAATCTGCCAATTTCTGCTCCAAGAAATGACTCGCTGTACCCGCCGCAGCAACATGAGGTAGTGTGTGCCGTCTCATCTTATTGGTGCCAGCTGGAGAATTGAAACCACAAAAAGACAACTCCCAGATGTGAGGAGATGAGATGCATCATGCGCAGATTATGGGTCTTGTCATCGATTTAGCTTGTGATATTCACAGACAGAATGTTAGGCGCAGTTGAGAACCGTCCAGTCCGCAGTGTTCTGTCCACTCAAATGATTTATTGGACCTCCAACATTGAGTCAATTGCAGGTTGGGATGACGTTGGTGCCAAAAGAGGTAGTTTAAGATATTTTCCAGTAACTACAACAGTTGTATGCACCTGCTTCACTGTTGTCATGGTGACGACGAAGCTGCTCCTAAAGATGAAGCTCAAAATGTATGAGCCAAGCTACAATAAAAGCGAGAGACTGTTCAGCGCTGCCTCTCATGTGCTTGATGAGAAGAGGAACAGACTTATGGCTGATAAAGCAGAGAAGCTACTGTTCATTAAAAAGAACCTCCCACTTTTCCTTAATAAGTAGACAAGGCTGGCTTATCATAAGCTTATCTAGTTCTACATGTCTACTCTATACCCACTTTCCTGAACAATTTTCATTGTGAGTTATAATTCACCATCTCAGGTTATCATTAGGGGGAAATGACAGCAGCACAGTGTTCAATATATTGTACTTTCGGTATCTAAATGATACAATGTTGTTTACATTGCTCATGAGGACAGACCTATGGGACAGACCACCTTATTTGCAGATTCTTGAAATTATAATTTAATTTGTAATTGATTGTGGATTTTGTATCCAGTTTTCACTTTATGTATCTTTATACAATGTTTACTACTTTGCTTATGAGGACAGACAGCCTTATTTACAGATTCTTGAAATTCAATTGTAATTTCATTTGTAAATAGTTACATTCATGTGGATTTATCCAGCTTGCACATTTGTATGCATGCACTTATAGGTGCATTTGTTGTTGTTGAAGGCCTGGCTGTTACAGTCTTTATTTACACTATTTTGTTGTAGGCCTACTGGCCTAGATGTTTATGCAGTTTTNGGAGTACCCCATCATTCTTGTTTGTTGTCCTTTCAAATCTGTGAAGTAATCTTAGATACATTTTAAAAGGTATGCAACTTGTTTGTATCACAGCATGCTCAGTATTGTGTGGCTTTTACCAAGTTTTTTGTTATCTTTTGGTACTATTTAATTACATAAACTGCTTTTTTTTCCTATTTTAAAAACGTCAGCTCCCTTTGTTAGGTCACTTGAACACTGGACTCTCTGAACATGTCTTGGGAAAAACAGCAGGCTGACGCTTAAACTGGCTTTAATGGGCACGCTGGCTGTAGAGTTTCACAGAGGTCAAGGTTGCAGTGCGACTCCACAGACCGAAGAAGACGAGGCATTTAATGACTTCCTAATGACAACAGGTGGAAGTGTAGCTCCCAGCAGGAAGAGGGGGGGGGGTCAGACAGGATAAGCTTGAAGTGCTTTGTCCATTGATGGTAAACTATTTTAAACCGTTTTATTTCTAACCATGAATGGGCTGACAATTTAGAATGTATTCGATGGCATAGCGTTTTAGAAGAAGATTGGGCCCTTTATATAATCCCCAGGGCGAAATGTAGTTTTTCTCAGTCTTCTACATTTAAACTTTTTAAAACCGGGCCACAAGATAACACACACACACTACTGGAAAATCTTTTCACTGAGTAATTAAGGAATTCAAGCTTTTCCTGCAGATATGAAGTTGTTTTGCCGTGAGTCTGGACCAAAGCTCTTGATTGTGCCCATATAAGCCGAAATGGACCAGACTTGGGTCACTGATAAGGGTCTTTTCTTTCTGTGTCCGTACAAGCTGGCACTTCAATGCTGCAGAGAACCAAAGGCCAAATGTCTCAGACGGTTAGGTTGGTGGAGCCAAGTATTACTCCTGTCTGTCTAACCATAAAACACACACACACACACACACACACACACACACACACACACACACACACGCACACGCACACGCACACGCACACGCACACACACACGCACACACACGCACACGCACACATACACATAGACAAACACACACTCGCTGCTCCTTTGAATTCTTATCTTCCATCTACATATGGGGCACCAACTTGGCAACCGAACACTATTACCTTTGTAGAGTGGAATATTTGCAGGTTTTTTTTCTAAATGTGTTTAAACTTAAAGCCCCTCTGGTCACTTTTAAGCACAACATCAGTTTTGGAGGTGAGTGTTTTTGCTAAAAAAACTGCATTCTTCACTGCCTGTCGAAAAAAGATATCTGCATCAATATAGATCCACCATGTTCTAGCCCCCACATTGGGTATGTTTCCAAAAGCAGAGCCAAACACATATTGGTCTTATTAAACAAGAGCCAAAAACAAAAAGGCTATGAACAATCTAACGTTCACAAAAAGTGTCATGCCAAATTTGGGGTTTGCTTGTTGAAGAAAACCTCAAAGTCTTCAACAGTTGGATGAGACTTTATGCAGCTCACAGAAAACTGCTGGGTAGGAATTCTTCACGATATTATAAATAACACGAGAGGACCAAATAGAACAGAACCACGTCTTTCTAGAGAGGATCGGAGAGGAAAGAGATTCCTAAGGAAACAAATGAGACGATGATGAGAGTCTGGGTATTTAAACTCACAGGTAGCATTCACATATCACCATTTGGATCTGTTAATATATATATATATATATATACACTGTAAGTGATGCCTAATATTGTTTTTGAAGCGAGTCTCCTTTAACACGCCTTCAAGTTAATTAAAGCAGTTACAAGCTGCTGGTAAAAGCGGATGTCCACAGAGGTCAGAAGTCATGCGGCTTCGTGTAAACGGCACGTTGTTCGGCTAACCCCAAGCTGTGTTTAACCAGCTGTAGAAACTGCACTCTGACCAAAGTGTCAGAAGAATAATGGGCTGACTAAAAAAAGAAAAATGGTTTTGGCAGCTTGCCGCCACCGTGTCCAGACTTCAACGCATAACTTCTGGAGGGAATTAAGTAGCAAGGCGTCTTTTGTGAAAAAGGTGGCGAGAAGATGAATTGGTGATTTATCAAGTGAAGTTGAATGAGCAATAGAGTGCAAGAGAGAAAAGAACAGAATGGGGAAAGGTGATAATGTGAGAAGGTCAGAAGCAAAAGAGGAATGTTTAAAGATTCGTTCACACTTTATCAACTCAACAACTGGGGCCTTTTCACATGGCTATGGATCATCATGGCTGCTGTCAGAGGAGAGAAAACATTGAAAAAAGCTGAGTCAGAACAAACCAGAAAAGCTCTCACCGCAGCAAATGTGCTAAGGTGCGACTGAAGGATAAACATCTGCATCTGAACATCACCCTGTGACCTCTTCATCTTCATCCACATCAACTCCTCCAGCCATAGAGGAGTCCCTTAAGATCCCCTTTCCTTACTTTCCACAGATGAATGCCAAGGCTTTGCTGTCAGGTTTGGCATGTTTGTATTCATCAGGAGATACTTGTGTAGCTTATCCAAACTGTTCCTATAAAAGGAGGGTG